CATGGGACTTAGGAAGTAAGGTTATGAGTACTTTACTTGGGGTTGTGAACACTTATAAGTATAGTTACCTTACGCAGAACCCTGCCTACTAGGTCTCATGATCCTATAAGTAAGAAAGGCACCCCTCCATCTTCCTCAGCACCTAAAAAAATCCTAAATCCCTCAGGACCCACCTTTTCGAAGAGGGCTTCAGACCCTAGAACCCCTTTAATAAAAGCTCTGGGAGCCGAAAGGTATTACGAAGTCACTAGCTACAGGAACCTTTATAGGAACCCTACTAAGCCCCGAGTCGAGGGACCCCTATCACAGAACCCTATAGTGCCCTTAAAGGGGAAACTTAAACCCCTCAACCCTAAACCCTAAACCCTCCGGTGCCCCCAAAGAAGGGCGGAAAGAAGAACCTGCGTGGGGAGAATGAGACCGACGAGGTGCAGAGTCAGTGCGTAGGGTCTTCAGAGGGGTTGCTAAACCCTAAACCCTACACCCTAAACCCCTAAACCCTAAACCCTAAACCCTAAACCCTAAACCCCAAACCAAGGAGAAAGAGGCGAGTGCACTAAAAAATACAAACCCTAAACCCTAAGAGGGGTTCCTGTTACAGAAAGCTACAGCGGGTTTAGGGGTTTTCAGAGGTGCAGGGTTTAGAGTTGGGGGTTTAGCATGAGGGCGGTTAGTTTGGGGTTTTAGAGCTTAGTTTAGGGTTTGGAGAGCAAGTAAACAATATAGAGTATAGAGTTAAGCGGCTTGCCCAGCCAGCCCCCAGCCGGGAGGACCCAAAAAGTAGATCCCCAAAGTAGGGACCCTCTTGGGATTAGGGTTGAGCTTTTAGGGTTCAGGGTTGAGGATCGAAACCCCTAAATTGGGACCCTATACTACCAAAGGATGCTTTATGCCCCCGTTAACGGATCTGCTGTTGGGATCCCAGCAGGGCTCTGGGATAGGAGGTCTGCGTTCGAAGCACTGGAGGCTTAAGTCCCTTCTCTTGGAGTGGAGGGTTTGTTTTTGCTTTAGGGGGTTACGGTGCTGTTGATGGTCCTAAACCCTAAACCCCTAAACGGGAAATTGGGGTTTCGGGGTTTTTCTGTGATCATCTTCGAGGCTGGGGTGCCCTGCATTCACACACCTTCGGGTCGGGGCGGGGTGTGGGAGGGTGTAGGTGTTAGGCGTTGGGGGGTTTAGGGTTTAGGGCTTAGGGTGTAGGGCTTCGGGTTTAGGGTTTAGGGCTGAGGGTTTAGGTTGTAGGCCTTAGGGTTTACCAAGGGGGTTCAAGGTTCAGGGTTTCAGGGTTTAGGCTTCAGGGGGCTTAGTGTCTAGAGGAGTGGAAGATTTGCATGACGTTTGGCTGGTGCTTAAAGTCAGCGTTAGCAGTAGTGAGTCTATACCAGCTTTCATGATTTGGTTTATCATTGCTTTACTTGTTGTTTATGGCATTGCAGCTTCGTCTTGACCAAAAGTACTGCCTGTGGCTTCTATTTCGGGCATTGCTTCGAGCAGTCTTGTGTCTACGGCCCATCAACTGGATCTCGACATCAAACGGGTTCGGGCAGCAGATCTAAGCACAAGCAAGCTAAAAAGGCAAAAGACAAAACCTGA